AGCTTCACGTACATATATCAGCTTGTTTCACAAGCCCAAATCTGCCGTCTGTTTTGAGATGCTTTAATTCTTGCGAGGCTGCATCGAGAATTTGTTTTGAAATGGATTGCATTTTCTGGACCAGTCAATGAGTTATATTGAACCCACTGATATACACGCTCTAAATGGTTATGTCTCATCACCCGTCGTGGAAGCTTAGCTCATCGTATATTGTACACCTAAGCTCCAGCCTCCACCTACTAATCACCACCACAGCAACTGCATATAAATTGGCCAAAAATGCCACGAACACTGGTTTTCTTATGCCTACAGTGCACAACAAAGAAGCACAAGTGGCCCTGACTAACACGAATTCTCCAGATACCGCGTGCTTCGTGAGCATGTGTTCGCTTTGGCTCACACAGCCTGAAACTACGGTTAACCGTTAACATAACGTATACGCTGGCATTGAGTTCTTTCTACAATCACTTTCGATGCCCTAAAGACTCTTACAAAAGCATTACCATCAGGAATATGAAACACATCGGGTAAGCTCTTTTTACAGGCTACGCAAACTGCGAAATCCATAAAAAGTTCCGCATATAAATTCTTAAAAAAAACTAAAAGTAAACCACACCGAAATACGCCTTATACCAAGATAGACTTCTCTACTGCACTTTTTATGTGAAAGCGTTTGTTTCTCTGAGTACTCACTCTGTCCACGTAGGCGGGGTTTCTGCAACTAAAACTAAGCGTGCTACCAGCAGCTTTACGGGCTTTTAAAGGCAATTGTAAGGAAAAACAAATGGGAAACGTATGAAGCTGGAAAAACACAGATAACAGAATTGATTTCGCCGCAGTTCTTCATTGTCGGGAAACTACACAGAGAGACACAGACCTAAACACGTGCGGCAAAAGTGCACTCTATTTTCAAACCACGATAACGTAGGCACTCTATTAAGTCTCCCCGTTTCTTTCTGGCTGGTCACCAGGCCAGGAAAACCCCTGCAGAACGCTTCTCCTATCTTGCCGAGGAAGGCAAACACAATGCGCATGGATCACGGGAAAACACTGATATATTTCTGATTGTGTTCTGAAATTCTTTATCACTCAAGTGGTATAACTGTCTTACACATGTGGATTGGCATTGATGAAAAGTCAGTGGGTCAGTGTCAGCTGTCATCTACAAAGGTTAGTTTCATTTAATGAGTAATAGTATATTCAGAAAACTGCTGTTCTTTCTGAAACGAGACAACAGTTTGCTGATCAGCACGGATCTATACGCTTTGTCTGGGTATACCAAACCATGCAGTAATTCGGAAGGTGCGGTATAATACGTCTCTTCGCATATATGCAAAAACGTGTTCGCTTACTAAAGCCAGGGCATCTAACCGGAATATAAATTGCAAATGACATCCGTCACATTCTCCTGCCTAGTTCTGCTGAAATAATGACGTCTTAGAGTTGAACTAAATAGTAGAGTGTCAGTTATATAAAAGGCGAAGAATCAACTCAAGGAGAGATTCCCGTCGTAATTGTTGTGGAGTATTCATAAACTGAATGGTCTAAACCCTTTAGCACAGTAACGTCATAGGTGACTGTGTTCCAGAAAGCTCAAAATATCATACGTAAACTGTCTTGCCCAAGCAAAATTACTTCAGTCAGCGTCTCGATTTCTTTGTAAAACGTAAATTTATAACCGGGAGAAATATTAGAGGCACGTGTCTTGTGGACATTGTAACGCAGTTCATCGAAACTTTGATTAGGAAAAGAAGCTCTGTCAAACCTCCAACGATTATTGAAAGATTGAAATGTCATGCATAACAGCCGGCAAAGCGAAAGAAGAACGAAGGGAGCAGCACGAGGAGCAGCTTCTGGCTTTTCGAAGGAGACGACGTTGGAGCGTCTGCTTTGTTTTGATCGCAAATATGTAAACTGCTATCAATATTTTTACTTCAACATTTTTTAAAATCATATAAGTAGAACTCATGTATGATAGGTGATCACTTGTTTTTCTTTATTTGTCTCTCAGCAACTCTCTCAGAGAAGGTGGGAGCCATTCTTATAGGTCATCAAAGTCACAAGCAGCCTCATGCCCTTGTGCCATTTCTTGGGTATAGAGCCATGGGCATTGTCGTCGAAACGAAGTCTTCTGACTGCTATTCTCAAGTTTCAACAATGTTTATTATATTGTAAGACGGCTCATGTTTATCACTACTTCCAAAAATTTAGGTGGTGGTGAATTTGGTAAAGCCACATTTATTGTTTGATGAGTGACAGAAAATTCAGAGATCTTATGCGATAAAGATTCCGTTAGCCAGATGTAAATGCGGCTGCAACTATTGATGGTTTCAAGGTCACAAGCATTGTACCACAAAAAACTTCTGGTCACCTCATTTATCATTTCCTCACGTGGAAACTAAAATCGCGTTTACAAGTTTGTTTTTTTCAAGGGCAAAGAGAGTCTCTCATCAGTTTTTCGCATAAAAGAAGGCCTGTTGAATTCAAGGAAAATCGTATATCTTTTATGTAGCTCAATAGAACATTTATTTGAATATATTTTGCCAAATAAGGGAAGGGAACTGTGGAAAGTCAATAGGTTATTTTCAGAAAATGGTGTTCGCCACCGATGCTATTAAGGCACACACATCTCCTAATAGCAGAAGACGAAAAGAAAATTGCATGCAATGAAGATAACTATATTGAGGCCGCAATCACACTTTTTTGCGAACAGTCTCACGATTCGCACTACAGAAAGTATTGCTTATAGCTCACGGCTTTTTCTCTCCGTTATTCCTTTGAAGGTGCAGTTTTTAATCGCTGTCATATAATGTTGTTCTACCCGTCTTTAATAAAAAACTATTATTAATATTATTATTATTATTAAAATTATTATTATTAATATATACTTGCCATTCTCACAATGATGACGTCAGCGGGAAAAAGTGGCACCTTCTCTCAGATTTTCTCGTGTTTATCTTCCTTAAACGATGTTAGTGCGCTCACTTTGACTATAGCTGTTCGGTTCCTATGAAAGTTGTGATTATAAATATACGTTTGAGTTCCCAGGTTTCAGGCGTTAATCTGCAGGACCAACGACTCCTCTATTTTACCAATGGAACCCAGGTGCGCCCAATCCAACTGTTCACTACCCTCTTCTCCAGCCCTTTACCGATCTCTCCCATCGCCTAGCCTTAAGGTGTCCTTTGTGGTCATAGAAGAGAGTATCCCCTCATGCAGTACCCAAAGACGGAAATCATATTAAGTAATTTTTTGTTCAGTTGTATAGAGATCCGTGATGTGGCGCCTTATATTTCTCGTGTTCAAGATATTGGAAGTCACGTTGACTCAGTGAAATATACTGTTTTGAGACAGTGTGTCGCCGTTTGTGGCCCTAATCGGGCTACATCAATGCAACGTTTCGGCATGCGTTGCTCTGTGAAGCGGCAGAGGCATTGTCTCGAGCCAAAAAGCAGCAGCATAAACGAGCGAATCTGACAAACGTATTATATTGGTGTGGGGAACATGTCTAACGCATCTTTGGCGGAAAGCGCTCGGATGCACCAATGGCGCAAGCAGCGCGACCCCTCATATAGCACCGCATCACGACCACTCTTTCAATTAAAGGGACTGACAGCTCCCGTTGGGAAGCGCGCGTTTGCACTGGGATTGAAATAAAGGAGGGTTAGTAAAAGGAGGGTTAAATAAAGGTTGGGTTATTGTACTGGGAGTAACTTTATCGAACGCTTTCTCAAGATGCGAACCTAGTGTAGCTTCAGTTGACCGGTCCAGGCTGTCCAAGGTTCGGTGCTTCAATTGAAGCAATGTGCCCTGGCATGAATTGTGCTTTCGGAAGCCTGACATAGTGCACGAGAGAGAGTCATTGCCTTGAAGGTAATTGTTTATTCCGCCTAAGAAGGCGTGTTCTATACGTTTGCTTCCCGCCGCGGTGGTCTAGTGGTTAAGGTACTCGGCTGCTGATTCGAAGGTCGTGGGATCGAATCGCGGCATCGGCGGCTGCATTTCCAATGGATGCGGAAATGTTGTGGGCCCATGTGCTCAGATTCGGGAGCACGTTAAAGAACCTCAATCGGTCGAAATTTCTGGAGCCCTCCACTGCGGCGTCTCTCGTAATCCCATAATGGTTTTGGGACGTTATACCCCTTAAATCAATCATTTATACGTTTGCTCACACAAGATGTTAGAGAGATTTCTCCATGGTTGTTAATAATCAGCGGCTGCGCGCTTCATACCAGAATATTCTCGGAAACATTCTATTGCGAGAGCAAATGCCCTGCAGTCTAGCATGCAATAATGTAGTCCATAAGATGAGTAGTAGATTCATCGTCAAAGTTACACTTTTTCTTGTTTGTAATGGAGAAATATCAGGAGCGTATTTGGAGTTAAGGTGTTAACATACGGCACGAATATGTGCGTCTCAAAAATTGCTCGTCAGGAGTGTTACATTTGTCTGACTGGTATAATCCATGTGTAGTGTAGGAGGCACTTTGGAGATGCGTGTGTTTTCAATTTCTCGCAAGAGTGCGTCTTCCATACCTGTATAATCATAAGGGAGCTTGTTTTGGTCATGGACTGCTTTGTTGTTCTCGGTGTCTAATAACAGACGGAGAAGGGCCATGTTTCGCCAAAATGTATTTATTTTTTTATAGCGTTGCAAATTTCATGGCAATGTTGCTGCCTTGATTTCTTGTCAGATGTTTTGATTTCTCTGTTTAGGAACGTTATACGTTTCCGAAACTTCCTGTCTAATTTTTGGGTTTTCCACCTCTTCTGAAGTGACTGCTTCACTTAGCTGCAACACTTTTAACGTGCTGCTAAATGCAAAACATGAAGTATACTTCTACAGTCACATTTGTTAAATAGTACTACAGCAATGACACAACAATATATTCAAATATTTTTGACATAGTTTGTGTTTATTAGCATTTACTCGCTCTTCAACAGCTTGGCTATATACGTCAGATAGCTGCAACTTCTGCATTAGACAACGACGAAGCATGTGAGATGAAATTCTTCACGGACATGTATTTCTTTTTGTTCCTAAAGTATTGGGCAGGATTAAAGCGGCTTCACATTTATCCCATCCATCCAGCAACGGCACCCACAGCTTGGTTCACCACAACGGCCTTAGCGACGTTCTCCACTACCCTGCGGAGTTTCTTCAAGAAGTACTCGGAGGTATTTTCATCCAGTGGTGTATCATCGTCACGGAAGGTCTCTAGTTCGGCTGCCAGATCAGCCAACAGCGCATTGAATGTTATCGTGACATTTTTTTCTTGCAAAACGTGTCCGACCATTCGTAGATAACTTGCAGTCTCATTGAGTGAGTCGTTGGGTGCATCTGCAAAAATAAAATTAAGGCGTGAACCATCCGTTTAATTGCCACGATTGGAACACTATCCGCTCAAGGAAAATCGCACCCATTGGTGAATCTAAAGTTTCTCATTTATATTTGTTCTTAGTAGTTATACTTCAGTTCAGTTCAGTTTATTTACCTTAGGGGTTTCCCAAAAGAGATACCACATGAGGTGTGGGTTGACAATATTTGACAATATTTACACCAGAAATAGTTTACTATTGATTATTTACACGCATTTGCAACAAGACACGGGCGGGTAATGGCGGCAATGTCAACAGGAAGAACTTTCCAGTCTTTAGCAGTGTGTCGGATGAATGAGGCAGATAAGTTAGCAGTTCGGGCACGTGGCCGTGCGACTTGTAGTCATCTTTGCAGTTATCATGCTAACTATGAATTTGCATAGGAGTATTTCACATGCTCTTTCGATAAATAACTTACGTAGCCTTTCTCAAGCTACAAGCTGACTTGCAATCTTTAATTTTGCTTGTAAAAAACAGGTTCGATTTACTGCAAACAGATGATTTCATGCACCTATAAGCTCCGCCCAGTTCTTATGAGACATGTGGACATTAGCAACAAATGACGAACACTATTAGGCGGTCGTTGAAGTTTATGCGCAAGTTAGCGAAACCTCTGCTTACTTTTCTCCTTTTGTTCGCGTACGGTGTAAGCGATGCAAGGAGCGGCGACAACCAGGGTCAGGAGGGAAACCAGGACTGCAGCCTTCATTTTTAGGCACCTCGAACTGAAAAGTAGTGGTAAGGAGGCAGATGAAATATTATTGTGAGAATCGGTTGGCTTCTTTGGTGCGCATCTCAAGCCTATGCAATAGCCTGTAGCCTTTGGTGAGTGAGACGGTGTTAAGTTATAAAGCTTCACGTACATATATCAGTTTGTTTCACAAGCCCAAATGTGCCGTCTGTTTTGAGATGCTTTAATTCTTGCGAGGCTGCATCGAGAATTTGTTTTAAAATGGATTGCATTTTCTGGACCAGTCAATCAGTCTTATGGAACTCACTGATATACACGCTCTAAATGGTTGTGTCTCATCACCCGTCGTGGAAGCTTAGCTCATCGTATATTGTACACCTAAGCTCCAGCCTCCACCTACAAATCATCACCACAGCAACTGCATATACATTGGCCAAAAATGCCACGAACACTGGTTTTCTTAAGCCTACAGTGCACAACAAAGAAGCACAAGTGGCCCTGACTAACACGAAATCTCCAGATACCCCGTGCTTCGTAAGCATGTGTTCGCTTTGGCTCACACAGCCTGAAACTATGGTTAACATAACGTATACGCTGGCATTGAGTTCTTTCTACAATCACTTTCGATGCCCTAAAGACTCTTACAACAGCATTAGCGTGAGGAATATGAAACATTGCGTGTGAGTTTTTTTTTACAGGCTACACAAACTGCGAAATCTATAGAAAGTTACGCATATGGATTCTTAAAAAAAACTAAAAGTAAAGCACACCGTAATACACCTTATACCAAGATAGACTTCTCTACTGCACTTTTTATGTGGCAGCGTTTGTTCCTCGGAGTACTCACTCTGTCCACGTAGGCGGGGTTTCTGCGACTAAAACTCTGCGTGCTACCAGCAGCTTTACGGGTTTTTAAAGGCAATTGTATGGAAATCTATGGGAAACATATGAAGCTGGAAAAACGCAGATAACAGAATTGATTTCGTCAGGAAACTACACAAAGAGACACTGGCCAAATCACGTGCGACGAAAGTGCACTGTGTTTTCAAACCTCGATAACGTAGGCACTCTATTAAGTTTCACCTTTTCTTTCTGGCTGGTTACCCAGGTCGGGAAAACCCCTGCAGAACGTTTCTCCTATCTTGCCGAGCGATGCAAACACAATGCGGATAGATCAGAAGAAAACACTGCTATTTTTCTGATTGTGAGTGTCTGTATCACTCACGTGGTATAAATGCCTTACACATGTGCCATGGAATGGATGAAAGATCGGTGGGTCAGTGTCAGCTGACATCTACGTAGGTTAGTTTCATTTTGTGAGTAATATTTTACTCAGAAGACTGCTGTCATTTAGTGAGTAATATTTTACTCAGAAGACTGCTGTCCTTTCTGAACCAAGAAAACGGTTTGTTGATCAGCCTGGATCTATACGCTTTATCTGGGTCTGCCTAATTTTGCAGTTTTTTTTTTGAAGGTGCGGTGTAATAAGCCTTTTGGCATGTGTGCGAAAACGTTTACGCCTGCTAAAGCCACGACTTATACCCGGAATATAAATTGCAAACAAATTGTGTCGCATTCTTCTGCCTAGTTCTGCTGAATAACAGCGTCTTAGGATTAAACTAAATATTAGAACTTCAGTTATTTAAAAGCCGAAGAATCGACTCACTGGAATGCTTCCCGTTGTAGAGTATTCCCGTTGTAGAGTTGTGGAGTATTGTTTTAGAGTATTCATAAACTGAATGGTCTAAACGCTTTTGCATAGAGACGTCATACGTGACTGTGCTCGAGAAAACCGAAAATTTCATACGTAAACTGTCTTCCTCGAGCAAAATTTCTTTAGTCACCCAGTCGACTTCTATGTGAAACGTAAATATATAACGGTGAGAATTATTAAAGACACGTGTTTTGCGGACATTCAAACACGGTTCATCGAAAGTTTGATTAGGAAAATAAACTCTTTCAATCTTTCAAAGAATATTGAAAGATTGTACTGTCACAACAGCTGGCAAGGTGACCGAAGAACGAAGGGAGCAGCACGAGGAGCAGCTTCTGGCTTTTATAAGGAGACGACGTCGGAGCGTCTGTTTTGTTTCGATCGCAAACATGTAAACTCTTATCAATATTTTAAATTAGGCACTTTTTAATTCATTATAAATAGAACTCATGTATGGCTTATGACCACTTCTTTTCATTATTTGTCTCTCAGCAACTCTGCCAGAGAGGGCATGAGCCATGCATTTAAGCCATCAAAATCATAAGGAACCTCATGCCCTTGTTCTTTTCTTGGGTATACAGCTATGCGTTCTCGTCAAAACAAAGTCTTGTGCCTGTCCTTCCCAAGTGTACACAATTCGTATTATATTTTAAGAGGGCTCATGTTTTGCACTACTTCCAGACATTTAGCTGGTGATGAATTTACTCAAGCCACCTTTATTGTTTGATGAGTGACCGACAATTCAGAGAGCTTAGCGATAAAAATTCCGTCAGCCAGATGGAAATGCGGCTGCAACAATCGATAGTTTTAATGTCACAACCATTGTACCCCCCCACAAAATCTCCGGTCATCTCTTTTATCACTTTCTAACGTCGAAACCGAAAGCACGTTTTCAAGTTTTTTTGAAAGAAAAGGAGAGTCTTTCATCAGTTTTTGGCATAAAACAAGGTGCGTTAATTCAAGAGAATCTCTTATATCTTTTATGTAGCTCACGATAACACTTATTTGAATATATTTTTGCAAATAAAAAAAGGAAACTGTAGAAAATCAATGTGTTATTTTCGAAAGTTGTTGTCCACCGATCCTATTAGGGCGCACACTTCTCTTAAGTAATAGCAGAAGACAAAAATAAAATTGCATGCATTGAAGATAACTATAATTTGACGGCGATCATACTTTCATTTGAAATGTTCCAGGGTTCGTACTACACAAAATAATAATTATAGTTTATGAATTTTTCTATACGTTATTTCCTTGAAGGTGCAGTTCCGAATAGCTGTCATATTTTGCCATACGTTTTTAGCGAAAAGACCACAGATAAGCAAGTAAGGTTTTGCATGGTCGGTGTCTTATTTTGTTGGTCTACCCGTCGTTAATAGTATTATACTAATATATTATTATTATTATTATTATTATTATTATTATTATTATTATTATTATTATTATTATTATTATTATTATTATTATTATTATTATTATTATTATTATTATTATTATTATTATCTTTCTCACTATGATGACTTGAGTGGGAAAAAGTGGCACCTGCTCTCAGATTTTCTGGCGCTTATTACCCTACTGCAACATAACACAGACGCCATTTGCAGAGACGTCTTAGACCTCCATTTGTCATACGATCAAGCTGCTGAAGTTTCAACCTCCCATTTCTTTCTTGTCGCTCTGCAAAATTTCACACACACCTTAACGTAAGAATATCTGTATGTGCCAAAACAACGAGCTACAGCAGTCATTTCAACAAATCTCTGAGGTTTGCGTTATGGAGACGTCCCCTCTACAAGAGCTTTTATCATTACTATTCTGCCGTTTATTGGGCACAGGTTTCTGACAACCAAAAAGTCAATGATCAATATGAGCAGTGTGCGGAGCCTGTGGTAAATAGCATGCGTGCGTTTATACCAAAATATACGTCTAGACGTCGTTATTATCCGCACTGGTTCAACCCTGACCTTAAAAGCACACTGAAGCATAGAGTTCTGGTGCTCAAGGAGGCTATATGTTCTCCATTCAGCAAGTTAATGAAAGAGTTCAGCTGTCCGTGAACTCTTTTGAAGTGCCTACATAAACGGGACCACAGTTCATACAATTGCATTATTAGCGAAAAATCTTTCTGACAGGCCAGCTCAGTTTGGCAAGTGTGCACGCAAACGGTCTAGTAAAACATGGGAGTGCTTCAGGCTACTGGAATCGGATGGTGTCAAAGTGCATGCTGTCCTTGACTGTTTTGCCACGCATAATCCATACGTTTATAAGGCCTCAGCCTCTCGGACTAGTATAGGAGAACAGCACAAGGCAGTTGGAATATCTAGTGGTCTGTCACTGGATGAGAAGCTTATCTACTCATGCATTAGGCGCCTATATCCGTCCTTATCGAGTGGCCAAGATGGCATGTCTTCCGCCATACTAAACGCTTATGGTAGTATATTCGCCCCAGTATTCACTTTCACATTTATTAACTAGCTGAACCCTTCCATATTTTTCAGCATTTGGAAAACTGCGTGTGATTTAAGTGTTTAAGACGGGCTACAGAACTGATGTTTTTTGTCGCCTAATTTTTCTACTTTGTGCTATATCAAAAATCTTCGAGCTGGCTCTTCACAACATTTTGTATGTTAGCGTAATTAATCCATTCATTCCTAATCAACAAGAGTTTCTCCCTGGCTGTTCAACTGCCAAAAACTTGCTAGTTGCTTGACGACAATATCATGACCTATTTCTCAGAGAGGACAGGTTGACATATTTGACCTGAGCAAGGCATTTGACATAGTAAGCCTTTCACTTTTTTCAGTTAAACCCACAAACTTAGATTTTTTTTCGTCCATTATGAACCTCCTGCACAGTTATTTCCTTAATCGAGCATGTGATGTTGCCATCAATAACCAAACTTCTTCGGTTTACAAATTGCATAATAAAGTCACTCAAGGTTCGGTATTGCACCAAATCCTATTTTTATTTACGTTAACAATGTTTCTTTTGGCAATTCGTTCTTCTCCGTTTCGCTTGTAGGACACTGATATCAAGATATTTAGGAAAGTCTATTCAGTTGACTAGTCCCTTTGCTCCTGAGAAATTTGTGTTATTTTTTCAAATGATGCGAAAACAACAACCACTCTCTGACTATTTTAAAGGCCAATTTGGTGCGTATACATCGCAAAACCTCTATCGTGCCATTTACATACTCTGCCCATCTTGTTAAGCAAGGTTTATGAATTCAGTGATCGTGGTGTTCTTTTTGATATTTTGAAATATTTTCTGCTTACCCTGAACGTGTTGTCACGTGTAGCTTTCGTTGTCTCGGCTGTGTTTGCAGAATCTCATGAGAATTCACTTCTCCTACAGTCTCCCGCAAATTCTACACTGCAGTACGTCTCCCTCAACTTGGGTATGCATTTGTGATCAGGAATACCAATTGCATAATGTGGCTGCTACGCCATTGAGTGAGTCCAGAAAAAAGCTCTCAAACGTCTCTAAATATCCTTTCGCTAGAAATGACGGTGGATCTTGTTCTAACACCACAACTATAATATCATTACCATCACTTCACTGCCAATGAAATCACGCTCGACTGTTATTTCTTACAAGCTAGTTCCTGGTATGATATCCTGGCCTTTACTTCGCACTTGTGTTAACTTTTGGATTCCGCGTAAGTTAACCAGAAGAATCGACCATTTCATATACCTGCCACCTTTCAACACTCTACCGCTCACAGAATAGAAAGTCCTTGTAAAGTTACGTTTCATGATTTTATTGTTTTCAGAGTTCACTGTCATTGTTGTTATGTCACTTCTGCACTGTCTTAACAAGGTTTTTGCAATATACAGATATTTTGATTTTCCGTCTTAAAAAATGATTCTAAGTAGTTGTGTGTTTTTTTTCCTTTTTTTCACTCCTATTTTATGATATTCTTGTATTTTTATTCTTCTCATTTTGCGCTGTTGTTTTTTTCACTGTGCGTTATCACTCTTTTTATTCAATATTTTTCTGAAGTGTATCTCTGTTATATTATTTATTTTATTTTTCTTATTTTTGCAAGCATGTACTCTAAGACCTCATGGTTGTTATGGGGTACGTAAAAACAATTCAATGATTGATTGGTTGGTATTATTCTGTGATCTAGAGATATACACCAGAAATTATGTTATATTCATAACGTGATCAATTCTTCAAGGTTAAAATTCAACCCAAATG